ATTTTTGCCGACTGGACTAAAGATGGCAAATCATTTATATAAATAAGAAACAGCAGTGGACCGAGAATGCTACCCTGTGGAACTCCCTGATTCCACAGGAAGAGAAGAGGACCAACAACAGTTAATTGACACCACCTGCCTCCGTGAGTCAAGATAAGACTTAAGCCACCACCAGATGTTACCGTTTATACCCATAGACCACAACCTTTTAAGTAGATTCTCATGCGGCACTGAGTCGAAAGCCTTACAACTTGATACAAAATGGACACACAAACGGGTATGAGGCTGCTAGTGATGGAGGCAAGCTGGCACATTTGCAGTGTGACCATTTATTACATGATTCACATTCTACCATGTTACCAATGTCTTCCTGAGAGGAACAGACACAATGGACCAGAGGAGAAGCATTGAGAGACTTAGCTGCCTTTTTAGTAGACTTATCTTTATCCTTCTGTTTATAATCACACCATTACATTATAACACTGAAGTGCTTGATTTATTTCTTTGTTAGACATTTCCAACATCCTTTGGGCAGTTTTTGTTAATTCAGAGTTGAATCCATTATAAGTGATGCAATTGTTAACAATTAGATTGACATGCTCCATAAACTGTTGCCTTGTCTCAATCTCATACTTGTGCTTACGAATATTCTAAAATAATAAAAATGAGTGTACATACATGTAGCAACTCAAAACTTAACATATTCTACGTAGCATAAAAACATTGATATACATGTATCAAAACTGTAATGAATTAACTTTAGTATTATTAGTAAACTTCAAGTGGCTGTATATTTAAAAACTTTCGCCAAAAAACGTCAATAATTATTTCTATTGCATTTTCTGATATAATTATACATGTGTACATTGATGGACTTATGCGATTTGCAATTTTTAATGCTCATAACTTGAAAATTAATGGACTTATCTTATTCAATGAAAATTTTCTAATTAACGCGCACCTGAGTTGGTGGTAAAATGGCGGATTTTTGTAGGAAAGACAGGCTGAACAATCTTCTCTTTTATCCAGCCACTCTAGCTTTGAGAACCACTTTGAGCTGTCCTTTTGTTTCAGTATACTCTATTTATCTCTTCTGTAAGCTCTT